GTGGTGAACTCCAGTGACGGACTGGGCTGCAGCTACCACCGCCCAACGAGCATCCTCTGCCCAAGGAAGCCATTGCCGTTGGGTTCCCTTCGGTGCTCACCTGGGAGGAAGAGGGAGAAAGAGGAGAGAAATGAAGAAAAGGGAAACTCACTGCCAAGCCAGCCGCACTCCAACACCGCGTCTGCTGGCGCTTGGTGGCTTCCCGTTGCCTGGGACAGACCAGGAGTGTGGAGGCTGCCATCCCCCATGAGATGGACCCCAGCAGGGAGGGCACTGCACCATCTCACCCGGCTCCTTCCAGCACAGCCTGCAGCGACTTCTTCAGAGCCGCGTTGCTCCGATCCAGAGCGGCAGCCAGATGGCTCCGGTGGGCTGGGGTGACCTGGGATGGAGGGGAGCAAGGTGCTCGGAGAGCTGCACTGCCAGGAGCCCACCGGAGAATGCTGGGGAAGGTCCTGGGTCGGCTGCAGCCCCGGCTGCCAGCTCACCAGCTGATCTGCAGGGCTCAAGCCAGGTGGTACTCACCTGGCTTTGGCACATGGTGAGCACGGCCGTCACCAGCTTGGCATAACTCAGCGACGTGGCGAAGGCTGGGGCCTGCCGGCACAGAGTCAGCACCAGGAGATCGAAGAGCTCAGGGGGCAGCACCTCCTGGAAGAGAGCCACAAGCAGGGCAGAGAGCTGGTCCTTGCTCCAGGGAGGAGCTGGAGCTGGCAAGGAAACCCAGAGGGACAAGGAGGGTCCCCTCACCTGCCGCCCCAGCACAGCCTGCACCACCGGCAGGAGCTTCTCTGACAAAGGCACCTCCAGGACTTGGCTGCAAAGGACAGTGAAGAGAAGACGAGATGCTCACACAGCCTCGATGGTGCTCCTGAGTGGCTGGAGCCAGCCAGACCCATCAAGGCAGGCACGAGGGCTGGAGCAGAGCTGTGGCCCCTGTAATCTCTCACCTCAGCACCAGTCGCACACAGTCAGGCTCCAGGCACTCCTCCACGAGCTCACACACCAGCTTGATCTGCTCAGCACCTGCAAGGGTAAAGCAGAAGGGGCAGAGCCTCCAGAGGCTGCCAAATCCATGGGGATACACCTAACCCTTCCTGGCACCCCTTCACACAGGGGTACATCCCAGCTGGGACACCCAGAAACCACATAGTGCCCTCTTCTACTGTTCAGGATAATCCAGCTTCCTTTGACAATCTGCGGCAAGGGTTTAATTAGCACTAGTCCCTAGGAAAAGGAGATGCCACTGTGGCAGGGTTTCATGCAGGACCTTCTTCTCATGCCAGCACAACCACCCTGAGGCAGTTTTGGTCCCAGCATGAGGAGCTGTCAGGAACCCTCTAGTCCCTGGCGGGATGGCAGCCGACCTTTGGGAGAAATGGTGCTTGAAACCAGCCTGGCCTCCCCTCCCACTCTGTCTCAGGCATCTCTAAGCCCATCTCCTATCCTAAATCCCAAGCGTTCACCTGCCCAGATAAAACCAGCACCATCCCTCCGTGGGTCCTAGGACACGTTTTGGGGTAATAAATGCCCCCCAGGAGACAGCACTCTGCAGTTGGGGCTTCCCTTCCTGCTGGATGCAGCCCACGGCCCCTCTCCAGATCCCTCAGCTGCTCCCAGAAGCCATGCCTGCTGTGAGCCCATCCCACCTTCCCCCGGCTCCCGCAGGACCGCTGCCACCAGGACTCGACAGAAGGGCTGAGAATACTTGGAGCAAAACGAAGCAAGAGCAGCGAAGAGGTGGCGGGAGGGCGGCTGGGTGAGGGACAGGACCTACGGACAGAAAAGGCAGGAGATGGGGATGGCAGTAAGGGAAACGGGGTGCAGGAAACCTCCGCCCCCACACTTACTCGCCTGAGGAAGAGCTGCTCGGCCAGGACGGCCGCGCTGGTGTAGCTGAGGTTGGGGGTGAGAGCCAGCAGCCAGCTGCAGAAACGCACCAGGAGGTGCTCTGGGCATGTGGAGAGCTGGAGGAAGGAGCACAGTCCCTGGAGCTGGGGACAGCAGAGGGGACAGGGATGTTAGGGACAGCAGCGGCTCCTCCGCAGCACCAGCGGTTGCAGCAAGGATGCCAATGGCTCCCCTGGCCGGGAGAGCAGTTGTTCAGGATGTGCAGCTCGGGTGGGATGCTCAGCTCTAAGTGCTGCAGGGAAACACGGTCCTTGAGTAATACCCCAAATAAAGTTAACACACAAAACACAGCTCCAGCGCTTTTCTAGTCCCGATTGCTCCCCAACTTCGGCCAGCCCTGAGCCCACAAGGTTGCCCATCATACAGCAGATCCCTGTGAGCCAGCAGCAGGTATTAGTACCTGAGCCCAGAGGAGGTGGCAGTGGGGCTGTCTTTTTATTCCCCTCCCGTCGTCCCTGTGAAACCCACGTCCTTTCCCACCCCTTCTGGAGGCCCTGGCATGACCCCGTTTAGACCATCAGCTCCAGGAGAGACACAGAAGCAACCTCTTACATCGGACTCCTTCTGCAGCAGCATTTTCAGCCTCGGTCCGTGCACCTGGAGAAAATGAGATAAAGGGACAGGAGTCAGACTGCGAAGGCTCACCGGCTGGAAAAGGAAAGCAAAACCTGCCTGGTACCTGGAGAAAGGACTGGACCTCTGCTGCCAGCTCAACCTGTGAAATCTTCCTGGGCTCTCCAGCTGCATCCTGCTGGGAGCTTTCCAGAGCAGCTCCAGCCAGGCTCTGAGCAGATTTGTCTCCCAAAGTCTCCGCAGGCACCTCCTCTTCCAGCCCTGCCACATCTCCACTTTCCTGGGTTCCCAGGAGGTCAAACGCAACCTCCTCCAGCAGCAATCTTTTCCCTTCTCTCTCCTTGTCCAGCTCCAGGCCCTCTTCCGACACGTTCTTGCACTTCCCACCTTGAAGCACAGAGTCAGCCACATCCTTAGCAGTACTGGGCTGCTTGCTGAAGCACCAGTTCAGTTTTCTTTGCCCCTCTGGTTTGTTCTGGGCAATTTTCTGGCACAGACAGCTAAGCTGCTGCTGGCATGCGGAAGACAAGGGAAAGGGAGGTGGGGAGCACTCCTCTCCCCTTGGTCCCTGCCGGAGGAAATCCCTTAGCATCCTCACCCAGGGATCCACATGGGAATCCTGCTCCGCAGCCTGGAGCAGCTGGTCAAGGCAGCCCCTCGGCACCACGGCTTGGACCACGAGGAGCAGGGAGAAGAGGTTTCTCTGGCACACGATGGGGAGCAGCAGCAGCCGTGGCTTGCTGGAAAAGGGGAGAAGAGGGAGAGGTGACACGTCAGAGCAAAGCCCCAAGTCCTTATTTCCAACCTGCCCCGCGGAGCAGAGTTTAACGGGACTAAGAAGCGAGAGCAGGCAGCAAACGCCTTCGCCAGCTTTTGCAGACAC